TGTGGTGTCCAGGGAACTGGAAGTTGTCTTGTTATTCCACTTTTAGCCAGGAAATCATCAAATTATTTGTTGACATATTCCCCTTCATTGTTGCTTCGTAGAGTAGTGATTTTGAGTCTATGGAAATTTTCAACATTTGTTTTATATTCCATGAATTTTTCAAGGACTTGATCTTTAGATTTCATAGTTTTAACCACAGCATACCTTGAGTAGTCATCAACAAAGGTAACGACACACTTTGATCCACCTTTTGATGTAGGTGTGATAGGTCAAATTACGTCAATATGTACAACTGAAGTAATCTAGTTGAATGTTCGGCCATTTTCTTGGGAAATAGAGTCTTCTTCATTTTTCCCAAAACATACATTGAGCAAACAGTCTCCTTTTCTTGGATTTCTTCACGCGTCATATTCAAATCATCCCCTTTCATAAGTTTCTTAACTGCATCATGGTGGAAATGTCCTAATCTTTGATGCATAATTTATTCATGTCTGGAAAATATATTTTGTGCATTTGCTTCTCTTGTATAGTCTTCCATGCCTATGTGCAGCGAGAATGACCTTATCTTGTCGAGGATCTTTTATGATTGCTTTGCCCCTCTCAAAGGAAACAGTCATCCCTACTTCTTCTATTTTTCCCACTGAAAGAAGGTTACCATCAAGTTTAGGGACATACAAAACATTTGCTAGATGAATAACATCTTTCCCACATTCTCTGACAAGATTCAAAACAATGTCTCCCATGCCAGAAACTTCAATTTTTTCAAAATTGGCTATCTCAACTTGTGATTTCACTGAAGCTAAATTCATAAATTTCTGCTCTTGAGAACACATATGTTCAGTGGCTCCACTATCGAGGTACCAATCACAGACAGGTTTCCCACTGCAAGAATCAGCAAACAGTGCTTGATATACTTCATTAGAAACCATTTTTGAATGAGGGGTTTTAGCAGCAGAGCAATTTTTGGCAATATGACGCCACTCCCCACAAGAAAATACTGTTTCTGTAATGGCTGCATAGTTTTAGTTCTGTACTTATCTTGAGTTTTGAGGGCTTTCTCTCCTATGACCTCACTGGTAGCGACTTCTGTTTTAACTTCTGTGTAGCGCAGTAATTTTTCTCAACGATGAGACACGATTTTATGATTTGGGTTGACAACGTATCTTCTTCACATTCTAAATTGAGAACAAGGACTTCATATTCCTTGGGCAAACCCATTAACATAACAAGGGCAACTTCTCTGTCTGCAAGACGATACCTTTCGGTGAAGGTCCATCAATCGATTCAGCTGAGAACTGACACTTTCTCCAGGTTTTAAAGGTACATTAAAAAATTCCTTTAAAAGTTGTAGATAATTCAAGAGTCTGAATTTTGTATGGATGTCTTTTAAAGTATCCCACACTTCTTTCGCTCTTTCACAGTCAACGATGTCATCTAAGAACTGGTCTTCAACCACTAATAGAAAGGTTAAGGCTTTCTCATTAATTTTCTTTTCGTCATTCTTTAATTCAGCACCATAACCTGGATCAATCGCTTCCCAACAATTTTTTTGAACTAAAACTGCTCATGCTCGGATTTTCCATGCATTGTAATTATCTCCGTTGAGTTTCTGAATCTTAATTTCTTCCATTGGATCGCTTTCAATGGGTTAGACTTAGCTTCGCCGGCACTGTGGATGTTGCTTCTTTTTCTTTCGGAAAAAATCAAAATTTCTTCTTCATTTCTGTCAAATAAACTTCTCTATAGCATATCGTGCTGATAACTATCAAAGTCATACTGTCGCCTGTATGGTGCTGAAGGCTCTTGCCAACGACAGGCACAATGTTGCACTCCTTGCCAAGATGAATTTAGTTGGCTTGTTCTGATGTTACTGTCAGACAGCTGAGATAAGACACAGCGACAACAAATATTATTAGTTGTTTTACTGAATAACAACACATCACTACATAAAAGACAAAATGTACTTTAATTCGGGCAATATTTTTTTTTTTTTTTTTAAATTGCTTAATTTATTGACTAAATTTATAAGACAAATGTATTGCGCTTTGCCATGTGACAACATGCTTCTTTTATATTGTTGAGTTTCCTGATTAAATTTAACATAAATACCTTATGCTTTGGAGTGGCAACAGAAATCTTTTATACTGCATAGTTTTTTAAACAAAAGTTCCCTAAATTAAGACTAAATATTAAATAACTATTAAACAAATTAAAATTTAGGCTTCAACCAAATGTCTTTTATTGTCAAGGATGCAAATTTAGAAAAAAAATTAATAATAGTTCATAGAATCATCTGGGTGCAAAAAAGACAACCTCAAAACTTTTCAATCAGGCTTCGTAAATCAAAAGTTTCTTGTAGCTTTTTTTCCTATAGCTTGCCATTTTAACACAATTTCTGGTGGAAAAATACTAAAGGGAAAAGTTTGGTTTGTTAAACTTTGAGAACAAAATAAAAGCTTTTCTTGGCAGTTTTTTCTGTTAGTATAAAAGTTGAAATGCCATCCAGAATATTTTCTTCAAGCAGACATACATACTACTACATCCGAGGTAGACAGCTGGTTCTTCAGTTTCTTGCAGGTAAAGGCCCAAAAAGAAGAGCCTGATGATATGGCATGCAGGAAGAAAGGAATTTAATTTTGGAATTACTCTGTTCCTACTTCCATGGTTTAAGCTGAAGTTTTCCCTCTTGGACTAACAAATTAATTTTACAACTATTTAACTTCGCAAAAGTCTTATTCAGTCTTCAGTTTTTTAAGTATTTACTTGAAAATAAAAAAATCTTTGAAGAACTACAAAATAGACAATATGAGCTAAAATGTTTTCTCTTAAAACTAATGTATATGCCTGCACATCTGATCTAGTATCATATTTATTTACCATAAATTAAGGTGTGTTATGTGTAAATATATGCTCAAACTAATTTTTAAAGTCAAAACATATACTAAATATATCTCACTTTATTTTCAATCACTTTTAAAAATATATATTAGTGCCGAGAACAAAAATAAACACTAATAAATTTTCATATTGAAGTTCCCCCTCCCATTAAAGTACTATAAATAATACTTTTACCTTGATCACAAAAAAAAAAAAAAAAAAATCAGAGTACATTTTCAGATTACATGCTAGAAAGGCCTTACATATCTATCTATTAAAAATACATTTGTCCAAGTAACATTTTTTATAATATATTAAATCAACACCAATTTCACTTCTTTTATATCTGTTTTTACACTGACTCTTCTAAAATCATTGTTATGGATATTATGAATCATTGTTATGGATATTATGAAGCGAATATTATGAATTTGATAAGAAACAGTCAAATAATCAATTAGTTTTTTTTAAAAGACAAATATCAAAAAGGAAAATTATCCCATTAACAAATTTTAGAATGCATGAATTTTATTTATGATGCTGAAAATTAAGCATTTGTGACATTGAAATGAAAAGCTATTTGCAGCATTCTTTATGTAGAAAGAGATTCGGAAAACTGACATGTAGTGAATATGATGCTTCAGTAGGTTACATTCATAGGACCAGCAAAGGACAGACATCAGTATATCTCCAATACAGCAGGAGATGAAAAGCAGAAATTCTACTAATGATATAATAATGGGTAAAGGATTAATGCACATTTGTTACCTTCACAGAATTATCACAAGCATACACTGCTTAGGGTAGGTATCAGCATACAATGAATATTGTATAATGTAGCCAAGGATTATAATTAGAGGAGCATATAGGAATGGAGTCTACTTTACATCCATTCCTCCCACTGCTTTCGTTGTTCATGCTTGAAGATTGTATTGATAGCGAGATCGAGCGGTTAAAAAATTTTTGTAAGCCCACCTGGTATCACTGAGACATTGGTGCTAAGTTTTTTTGTTTCGGATCTTACTGTATCCGCTAAATGGGAACGCAATGAATCCAGAGCGATGAGTCCTCGGGATTGGTAAAAAGCCACGGCGCAATTTCCAATTTTGATCACTTTCTTCACTGCCAAAAGCTTAAAAGCAGTTGTATAACTTTTTCTTCGAGTAGGAGACAAAATAACAATATTTTTAAAGCGTGAATGATAAAGTAAACAAAAAGCAAGCTAGAAAGCAGAACACATTTTTAAATGTGTAAGAATGAACAAGCTACGTTACTTGGCAAGTAAATGTAGCTGTTTCCATTAAAAAAAAAAAAAAGTCATTGGAAAACGTGGGCAAAACCAATGGAGCTTAGATCCAAGTACATGCATTATGGAGTCTTTACACAAAGTGCCACCTACCTCAGTTAGACAAGTTTGAACTTATTGCACTGCCTTAGCGCAATATGAGGTTATAATATTGTAGCAAAGTTTAATTTAACCATTTCATTTTTGCATAACTTATGATTTGAACTAGTAAAGTTTTAAGGACAGAGGAAAAATAAAATTTAACTCAGATACGCTGCAGACCTAAATTTTCAACTTCTAAACACGTATAAGCCACGGCTTAGCTACCTGAAATTAGGGTAATCAAGAGGGAATGTGCAATTAATTTTGTATCTTGAATGTACATCTTTTCTAACACTCTTTTTATATTGTTAGCTGTTCTTCATTTTGAATTCAGTTATATTTATAATATACACTCTTCCTAGAAATCTAAATATGTTTTGATTTAAAAATATGAATTATGCTTAATAACAATCTAATGTATTAGCTTTGACTATATTACCTGAATACCAATTTGGCAGACTGTGACAGGTAAGAAAGAAAAGCCAAAATTCAAACTATAATTCAGAGTACAGAAATAGAATTTTTACCTGTGGCAGAAACAGAATACAGACATAGAATTTTTATTGTACAGAAATAGAACTTTTACCTGTTACAGAAATAGAATTTTTATCTGTAACAGAAACAGAATTTTTACCTGTGGAATTAGGCAGACTGACACAGGTAAGAAAGAAACAAGTGACAGGTAAGAAAAAAAAGCCAAAATTCAAACTATAATTTACAGAAACAGAATTTTTACCATTCTCGAACATCTTTCACAGCACCGAATTCTATAAAATAGTTTGGAATACTATCAAATCTCTCTTTCTCAAATGGTTGCCAGACTAAAACAATTTTTGATGCATTCATACTAATTTTCTTGGATATTTTTTTATATACATCATCATTGGGAAAATTTTGAAGAAAATTTACACAGCCACTGCAGAAATACATTTCTAAAAAATAAAATCCTTATTAGGATATCATGCAAGTATTTTTTATATATTACATAAAAATGAAATTTAAAAATTATTTTGAGCAATAAAAAGCAAATACTGAAAATAAATACAAGAGAGAAATATTAATTGTTAATTTAATTCCTTTTTCTAAAGTTGTTTCAAAATCTGACTTAATAAATCTTTTACAAGTGTCCATTGACAATCATTAACCCAAAATAAGATTATAACAGAATGTCTTATGATTATAAAAAGCAGTATAAAAATTAATTGAATAGTTTAATTTTATAAGGAAAGAGAGACAGAAAATATATCTTATTAAAATACATTTTATATTTTACATTAAATAAAAAAGTGTAATAAGAATAAATTTATCTTTCTCTAACTGGTCTTTGAATATATTTCAGTTTACATAGAGACAGTCATGACTACAGTCTTAAAGAACATTTTTGTGACTCCTCAACATAATGAAGTTACAAAAGCAATCAGGCTATTTTTAATGCCTGAGTAATAAAACATGAAAATTTAACATAATATATATAAATAATAACAAGAAATAAAAAACTTATTAGCATATAATGTATTTAATTACTATTTAATTAAACTAGAATATAATTTATTCACTCAGAATGATTACCGAACTTACTCGCCTAAGATGTCTCATTTTTCAATTTTTTACAAATAATGTTTCAAATTGGTTATGTGCTAATACTGAAGCCTGCCAGTTTTTTCTAGAATATGGATTCTGAAAATGCTTATAAGTTCTTTGGATTTCCTGATCATGGTAAAATCAGTATTATTTATTAAGCTTAAGATTAGAAATGCTTTTGTAGAGGGCATTTTTAACAGGAGCTAGTCTGTCTAAAAGAAAGCTCATGCAGTTAACCCCACTCAGTCACCTGAAATGGAACCCATGAAAAATTATCCTGGCTTAAGCTACTTCTTGAAGAAATGAAAGATCAAATGTAAAATTAAGCAAAAAAGCAACCTCAAAATGATTGTTTCACAACTACATTTTAGGGCTATCAAATTTAAAATTTTATTTTTTTTTCCTAATTTTATATTAGCATTTCCCCCCTCCCCAAACAGCAAGATTTATTTTTTTCTAGATAACATAATACACTGGTTATCATAAATTAAGGAAAAATCACAAAAATAGCGATAACTCCTCAAAATAACCAACCGGTACATATTTGCAAGAAAGTAGCTGATAAAACTCCAATATGGAAATTAGTGGCGCTGCACTTGGAATATGTCATCTGCGAAGCATAAGTCCAGTTTGGAGCAGCCCACATATTTCACTGTGATAGACATCAGAAATCTGAGATAGCCATTCGTACAATGATCTCCAAGCATCATTTGCCCAAACTAGACAGAAAGCATTGGGAGCTAGAAGCAGGACAAAGCCTAACAAAGTGCCAGATGGTTATGGTCCCTTCTTGGTTCATAACTTGGAGGCAATTTCAAATCACAGTTTCAGCACTAGGAGGTTCAGCCAAGGACGCAACTGCTACACGAGGCCGTACGATATTTGACACTATGTGCACTCGGAATAAACCGCTACTCCGACTCTTCTTATCCTCTTGCTGCCACCGAAGGTTTGTGTCAATGTCACTGTTTGTAGAAGGCTTAACAAGTGGTCGTATGCAAGGCACCATTATTTTGCGTGCTGCTCAAGTCACGCCATGAGAGACGTTTGCAGTGGACATGACAACATGCCACTTAACGCCTTAGCAATGACCCTATTCTCTTTACAGATGATCCAGGTTAGTCTAGAATGTGATAGTAGGTTAGTTGTTAGGGAGAAACCTGGAACCCGTTATCATTCGTCAAACATCCGTGAAAGAGAGCATATGGAGAAGGCGTCCTTTTGGGGTGGCATCCTCTTTGGGTGCACGCACAACCTACATGTTTTTCCAAGGGGAACCCGTGAATGCTCATGTTTATAGAGATGACATCCTTATGCTTATGTGCGCCCATATGCCAGGGCAATGGTGATGCTTTCCTGTTACGGACGACAATGCAAGACCACGCAGGGCTCACATCGTATAAGATTATCTTCAACCAGAAACAATTATGCGCATGGTGACCACTCGATCCCCGGCTTAATTCTATCAAGCTGTTTGGGATGCTTTAGGAAGACATCTAGCTGCTCTCATCCGCCCCCTTAGACCTTGCACACTTGCACTGCTTTGCGCAATGGCGCTCACTTCCTATATAATGATAACCGCATAATTGAAAGCATCACACATCGCTGAATGTGCTGTAGTGCTTCTAGAGGTGATTATATTAAATATGAAGTACTTTTACTATAGCAACTGACATCTTCGATTGTTCATTTTATACATGTGCTATTTTCTATACTACCATAATTGTCTGGTAATTTTCTTTTTGTCGTTTGATACCTTACTATGTGTTTATATTGGGAAGTTTCATAAAATTCTACATGTACCTTTTTCAGTAATCGTGATTTTTGTGATTTTTCCTTAATTTATGATAACCAGTGTAAATCATTTATAAACTCTGAACCTGAAACTCTTAAGATATTCTTCATATTGTTTGTTTTATCTTCAACATAAAATGGTCATTTTCCAAAGATACACTTTCTCAAGAAACTTCACTTACTGTCATAGTCTTACTAAGCATATTCCACAATGTTGAAATTAATAGGTTTTAAATTAGAATAATTAAATCACAAGACCTGCTTGATAATTTTGTAGGTTTGAGGACTTGCATAAACAGCTATCTCACTAAATTATGGATGTTCTCTTACTCAACATCTAACCAACAATCATCTATCATGGACATGGAAGTAAAAGAATTACAAGACAATTTTAAGAGGATCTTTAAATCTCAATCATATCTGAAGTCTGGAATCAATTTTAAGAAAGATCTGAATGAATAGCACTGACAGTACTTTTCTTTATGATTAAAGACCTAATTTATTTAGTTTTAACATGTAAATACAATTTAAAATATTATGCACTAATTGGTTACAAATTACAATTAAAACACTATTTTTCTTTCATATATGGTTTGATATTAAAATAAGAACTTTTCGACTGAATTACATGCTTTCTACAATTTAGTTGCCAATTTTTTGGCCTTTAAAATAACAGAATGAATCCTCCAAAGACTGAATCCATGTATTGAAACATAAATATTCAATTAACTAATATTATACAGGTAATTTCTGAAACTAATTTTCCCTCAAATATATATTTATAACAAGTTAGATATAACTTACTATGAGCTTCTGGACCAAAATTAAAGGCTTTTACATGTGTACCCATCCGTCTCTTCCATTTTTTAGGAGGACTGCCGGATTCATTAAATAGTTTATATGGTAATTCAGCATTTCTCTTTCTCTTTTTCAATGAGGTAATAGAAAACTGGGCTTGGATATTCTGGTTGTTCTGAAATTTGGTGAACTTATTTTGGTTATTCTAAAATCAATAAAAGTTAATTTTTTAAATAAAAAATTCAGGGCAGGCCTTTATAAAAATTGCACACCTTGCTCATCTTATACTATATAAAAATGCAATTTAATTAATTCACCATACACAAATAATTATCATTTAAAAACATGCCAAAAAATATTCTCTGCATTGTATCCATTAATTAAATATACATATTTCTATAAGCACTAACTATATTTTAATAATAAACAGAGGATGTTTCAGAATCTCTGCTCAAATAACGATCATTATCCAATTAAAACCTACAAAGTAAACAAATGCATAAACAGATAAAAAGGAAGGAGACAGAAAGAAATAACAAAGATATTTTAAATATAAAAAACTTTACAGGCAGTTAGAATTTTTAAAACTTATCTTTATGTTCAACATTTAAATCTCATAATTTCAAATACTGGGGGAAACTAACATAAAAATTATTTTTGCCATGACACATAGTCTCATCACAAAATAATGAGTAAATACTTTAAGGATAAATTTTGTGTGTTTTAGCTGAACTTGTGATGACGAAAAATTACATCAAAATTTCTCATCATGTTAAATAACGTTTTCAGGAAATATTACACCAAAAGACACAATTTAACACATAAATCAAAAGCAATAATAAATCACAATTTAGAAAAGAAATCATACATATCTTCATACTATCACGATGCACAGTAGCAAGTTAAAACCTAGTCTGTAAGTGTTGAAGCACTGGAATACTTGCATGCAGTCCAACCTTTGTTGAAGCTACTGTAAAATTTTCTAATTGTAATATGTCCCATATGTGTTTTTAAGGAAGAACATGAATATGATAGGAAGAGATCACTAATAATTATATAGCAGTTCATAATGTTTAATAAGTAGGTAAAAGATAATTAAATTGGAAGCTGAACGAGTTAGTGAAAACATGTGAAGTAATATAACTTAAAAGTTCCTGCAAAGAAAATAACAGTTCAGGAAATACAGAGATCACACAAATGTAATTTAAAGCAAACAAGATCAGATCGCTACAAAGTGCTCAAGAGGCATAACACATAGCAAGCTATGCAAAAATAAAGAAATAATGATTCTATATAAGTAGATTCAGAATTCATTGCCATGGGATTTATAAACTCATAGTTGTATACAAGAATAATAATATCAGACAGAGGTCTGCAGTAGTTTTCACAGAACAGCAGTAAACATGGAAAAAAAAAAAAAAAAAATAGATGCCTTAAGATAACTACACATGGCCAGGGAGGGGATATTTATAGTACCGGCACTTCCGTTCTAAGCATATTTTAGTTTGACTATGATTTATGTACTGCAAATTATGATATCAGTTTTAAATTTATCTAGTAAAATAATAACTAATAATTAATACTAAAAGTAAACTATTCACAGAATTTTGAAATTTATTTAATATTTTTCATGAAAAATTTTATAAATATGTTTTTGAAACATATTTAGGAACAATTATTCCATCCATCTTTGTTCCATACCATTCATTAACAATTTTCCAACTTGTATACCGATTTCTCAAAACTGATGGTAGCTTTTTTGATCAGCATCTTTCAGTTCAACAGTTTTCCTTAAAATTTGAAGTGATTTTTCTCAAGTTGATTGATTTGGCATGTCATCACTTTTTCTGTATCACTTCTGATGCCAGTTTCTTCAGTTCCATTAACACTTTTTTTAAATATCATAGCTCGTTTTTGCACAGGTTGTCTCAATATTGTTGTTAGTTAACTAAAATTCTAATAATGAAGCTTCATAATTCATGTCTAAAACATAAACTATAGCTTCCAGCTCCTCAGAAGTTTCTACATAACAGCTACATTTTTTAAAACAGCTTTTAATATTGTTTTAAGAGATTGATCTTCTGCATTGACTATAATACGCATGGTCTTTAGCAGAGATAGTGATTTACTTATCTCCTTTGAAGTACTAGCATCTTCACAAAATTTATGTTTATTAATTCTATTTATTCTGTTCCCAAGCATCTTTTCTGTAATGACAGTGAAAGCTTTCACAATACCCTAGCCCAAAGGCTGAATGCTAGAAGCAGTACAGTCAAAACTTGTTAATCCGGACTCGTCGGGATTTCGGCGATTCCGGATTATAGATCATCAGTTTAAATCTGGTAAGATGGCATGCAGAAATTACAAAATTAAAAATATGAAACCATAATTTATGAAATAAAGAACAATTATGATCTAAAATAAAGCAAAATTTACAAAAAGAAAAAGCTTAATATTTATTTGTTTACTTTATTAAACATTTCTTTCAATGTAAGTTGCTTCGTTTCATGTAATAATACTTTCTCTTTAATTCTATTAAACAGACATAATTACTTGTTTAGTTACAAAGTTCTGCTGTTCAAGTCCTATAATTGCTGTGTCGAGAATACCGACTAATTTGTCAATCGAAATTTTTCGTTTTCAATAACCTCTGTTACTTTCTTTACTATCGGAAGCGAATTATAATTACGAGGAACTCGTTTTAAATCATATCAAAGATGGAGCACATCGAGATGAAATACTACATTTGGTAAGGAATTATAAGCCAAATAAAAACATCTGCGCAAGATCAGGATAGTGCTGACAAATCAACTTCCAATTCATTACGTGCGGCAGCATCCCCCCCCCCATTTCCAATTTATTTACTTACGTTAACAGTTTAAGAAATTTATTTCCAGAAATAGAAGAGGAGGCATTAAACACATCAGAAATAAAAACTTATTCTGATACTAATAAAAGGTCATGAAAACGGAAAGAAATTTTTGATGCAGTTCATCATGATGAGGATGACAAAAGTTCATGTAATCAGAGTCAAGAAGCCTTTAAATGAAATTGCTTTTATGTAATATGTGAGAAAATATCTTTTAAACTAAAAACTACGTAGCAAAAGTTACAAAGACATTAATGCGATTTTAAAAATATTTGATACACACTCCAATGACAATGTATCAACTGAATTCGAAGATACCACATTACTAAAAAATGGTACAGTGAAGACACTGATACAAAAAAATTGGATGACTAACTGTTACAATTTCTATTACTTTGTAAAAGTCAAAATTTAAGTTGCCATCAGACATGCTACGATTTATAAAGACTAAAAAAATTGTATTGACATTTCAAATATGGAAATCATACTACGTATATTTTTAAATTTGCCTGTACCGAATGCATCTGGTGAAAGATCGTTTTCCGGGTTAAAACACATAAATACTATTTACAAAACAAACAAAATTAACTTCTTTAGCTGTACTACACATAGAACAAAATATGTTGGACAATATTAGTTACGAAGAAATAATAGATAAATTTGCAGAATTGAAATCCAGAAAAAAGGATTTTTTTAATTAATTTCATAATCATTCTTTCAAAACTATGTTTTTGACATTTAACAGAACAAATTTTGTTTTCTTAATTTATGGCATACAAACAAATAGTTCCAATTCTATTGATTATACTGATACATAATTAAACACATGTTTATAATTATGCTAACAATGGAAACTGTATAAAAATTTTTGAAAAACTGACTATTTTTGTTAATTATTATTATATACCTATCATTTATTATATTGTTAGAAAGTTCTCGTTAAAGTTACATAACACTCCGGATGTAAAAGCCTGACAGAAAAAAATGTCTAGGGCTCTAAAAGAGGTTCATCAGTCCCTGTTTGTCCTAATAAAATTTTTAAAACTGTTGTAAAGGCATGTCTAAATTAGTCATTTATTAATACAATGCCATCTGGTGGCATTTCTTTTTCACTGAAAGGCATTCCCATCCCTTCATCAAGTCCATGGCAAATTTTGCAACTTTCTGATGACTGGTTTCGCCTGTAGGCAACTTTGAAATACAGTTCTTTAATTCTGAACAACCTGTATAATTGTATTCTGAACAACCTGTATAATTGAGAAATTGCAGAAAGATTAAATATATCACACACAACAAATGAAAATCACATAAGATGTCTTGTACCTGTTAAGAAGTTTGATATTCAGGTTCCACATGAACTGAAAGAAATTCACTCAATGAATCAATATCTGCAATATGCATTTCAAACACAATTTTTTGACCCCTTTTTTTAAACGAATTATCATTGGTGATGAAAAACAGATCGTCTGCAATAACATTAATCAAAAAAGATCATGGTTCAAGAATGATGAATCAGCACAAATCACATCGTAAGCTAAATTGCATTAGAAAAAGACTGCACTGCCAATTTGGTGGGATTTTAAAGCTATGTAATAAGGTGGTAGTGGATGTTGTTGGGATTACAGAGGAACCACTTCCAAGCAACCAAATGATCAACTCAGATGTTAATTGCGAGCAACTTATGAAACTGGAGGAAACAGAGAGAAAAGGTCAGAATTGGTAAATCACAAAGGAATCATGTTCCACCACGACATGGTGAGGCTTCATACATATCTAGCAATATACAGTCAAAAGTCTTTAATCCAGACTCGTCGGTACTTCGCCGATTCCAGATTATCGTTTTTTCCGGATTATAGATCATCAGTTTAAATCTGGTAAGATGGCATGCAGAAATTATAAAATTAAAAATATGAAACTGTAATTTATGAAATAAAGAGCAATTATGATCTAAAGGGTATCAAAATTTACAAAAAGCTTAATATTTATTTGTTTACTTTATTAAACATTTCTTTCAACGCGTGCATGCGTACAGCATACATTACACATAGTCGAAATTAGAAAATTGTAACCAGAACACTATTTGATGTGTATTCGTGATATTTATAATGACGAGGAATTTGATTTAAATCATATCAAAGACGGAGTACATCGAGATGAAATACTACATCTAGTAAGGAATTATAAGCGGAATAAAATAAAAACATCTGCCCTGAAGATAAGGATAGTGCTGACGATCAACTTCCAGTTCATTGCGCGCCGCAACGTTCCCCCCCCCCGGATTTGGTATGGTCAAATCCTAGAGCCCAGTCACCCTTTAAAACACCCTAATACCCAGT